CCAGCATTTGTTGATAATTTAATATTGGTTAGGCATTTATTAGGCATTATGGTTACTTAGACTTTACCAAGTCTTCAGTGTTTGTGATCATAACTTCAGAATAGGTAATGGAGAGAACAACTATAAACCCTTAGTTGGTGATTGAAGAGTACATTTTTCTTCAGATTCTTACTGCTACTTTACTAAATACTTCATATATGTTACTTGGATAAAATTGGTTTTTCCATAGGACCTTGATATCAGAACTTCTATGTTTGCTTATCCTGTTGCATAGCAAATAAGGCATAAAAATTCTTAGATAGAAAATGGACAGTTGTATGATGGAAGCATGGCTGATTTTTTTTCCTGCACTATTAATTTACCAAAAGCAAAAAGAAAGATGCCACAACAGGAGGAAATATAATTCACAAACTATTTCTAATTCTTTTATTGGCAGAAAAACAAGCCAGAAATTTTGAAATTACTCTTAATTTGGACTTAATTTCTTAATATCCTTGTGGCTCACAGTTTTTCTTTAATTTAATGGACATGCATAATTTTTACATACCAAGAATTGAGTAGCCATTTGAAACATAAGTAAACATTATTTTATCAAGTTTCAACAAAGAAGTCTATGGTTAGGTTCCAAAGCTAGTGAACTATGCAATGATACACATTAGTTGGTTGGTTCCAATTCTAAGAAATTATGAATAAAACTGCTAAAAATATCTTTGGATGGTTATTGAAAAAAGAAGTAAAGAAAGCAGAAATATATGAAATAATTATTTTCAAGACACTGCATGTCAGAAAAATTGACATTGATCACCAAGAGATGGGAAGCAAGTTGGCTCTAGGATTTTCCAGTTTATTACCTTTAAGTTTTCTTGCTGTGGTACAGAGAAGGGTACCTCAGAAGGTCCTGGTATATTGCTTCAGTTGAGGAGATGAAGTTGAGTTTCTGTGGAGATGAAGCATCTGAAATTGTGAGAATGGAATATCACAGAGCATAGACCTATAGACCTGCATCAATGGTGGGAAAGAAAGACAGACAGACAGACAGAGAGACAGGCAAACACTGAGAGAGGGAATGCTGGAGAACTAGAGAAATCCCTCTCAGCTATTCATAAAAGTACTGATCAGTGCATGCATTTGAAAAAGCTACCTGAGGCTGGGGAATGATCTGCCCAGGTAGATTAGAGAGAAGGGTGCTGGTTCCTCACACTGAATCAGGAATAGTGCAGCTGGGAAACCTTATAGTTCATGAGGGTGAATGCTTAGGAAGATTTTGCATAAGTAAAGGGATAATAATTAGCCCTAGACTGAGCACTTCTCAAGACCTGCCTCAAAAACAAATTAGCAAGAATTAAAAAATCCAAAAAGAAAACATCCAAAAGAATCAAATTAAATATTATGTTCAGAATTTTGTGTCTTTGTAAATATAAGATATTAATCTGATTATTTTCTTTGTGATATCCTTTTTTTTCATTCTAGTATAAGGGTTATGCTAGGTTCATGAAATGTGTTAGGAAGTATATTAATTCCTCCCAGCAGTAAAAGTATTTATGTAAGATTGGTACTGTTTGTCAATTAGTTGTTTATACAGTATTCACTGATTAAAGCTATATGGGAATGAAAAATTTTTTTTGGAATGGTAGGATTCCAAAGAATTAACTTATTTAGGTCTTAAATTATTCCAACTTAGTTATTTTTCCTAGTGCATTTAGAAAGTTGTATTTTTCATAGCAGTGGTCCATTTTCTTTAATTGGCAAGTATACAGTCCTAAGTCATTTATCATATCATTTTATCATCTTTTAAAACTATGTAGAACCTGTAGTGATGACCCTGTCTTCATTGTTTATCCTAATAATTTGTTTTTTGTCTTCTTTTTTTCTTAATCAGTTTTGCTAGAATCTTACCAAACTCTCAAAGAACTCATTCCTGGCTTTAGATACTTTCTCTATTTTGAATTCATTTCTATTTCAATGACTTGTCTTCTATTTGCTATTTCCTTTCTACAGTGTTCTCTGCATTTATTTTTTTCTAGCTTCTTGAAACAGAAGCTTAGTTCATTTCCTTTAATTTCTTACTTCATTTATTTTCTGTTTTCTAATACTCACATTTAAGCTATAAATTTCTCTCTAAGCATTCCTTTAACTGCATCCAGTTGATTTATATATAAAAATATGTACTATATTACATACAGCTTCTATATATATGTATATTTCATAGATACCTTTCATATGTCTTTTACATTCATTTGTATCATTATCTTTGTGTTGAAAATATACCTTTTAAATTGTTCACAGTTAATTTAGGTTTATGTTGCTTAATTTGTAATCAGTTGGAAATTTTATATTTTGTTGTCAATTTCTAGTTGAATTATATTATTGTAAAATATATACATAACATATGTTTATATACCCATACACATTTGGGCTCTATAATTTATGTCCTTTGAAATGTATTGCAATTATGTCATGACATAGTGTATTGTCTACTGTGGTGAATGCTCCATGAGGTATTTGAGATGAATGGAATACTCCCACAAATGTTTTCTTTTCCTAATTCCACACTAACACAGATTCTATCAACTTACCTGTCTGAAAATATGTGACAAATTATGTGACAAACTTTATCTGCATTTGAAACAGACTTCAAATATCTTATTCTGAAATTAGCATTCATAACATTTTGGAAATTAGTTCAGATATCATCTTCAAAGGCAAAGCTTAAATTTAAACAGACATGCCTACTTTGAAAACCATGGTTTAAACAAGAAAAGTTTTACATATTTCATTTCTGCATACCCTGGAATTTTCCCTTTGGTGACATGACCTCAAGCTTTTTGCTGTAATCTTCCCCAAGAGGACATGGTTCTATAAGTCCTGTTCTACACAGTGATTATCCTATTGACATCTTTGGAAGCAGTCTACCATAAAAATTATATTTAATGTCCCATTGAATTTAATTAGACAAGAATCACACTTGGAGATGCACCAACTGAAAGGCTCCATAACATGTACAGTAGTTCAAATGCAGATAAAGTGTTTACAGATCTTTGCCCTTACCTCACAGGACAAACGTTCATGAACTGAAATGATAGACTCAAAATATAATAAAGTATGTATATGAAATTATTCTCTATCTTTCAGGAAACTCAAAGCTCAACAATGCAGGAGAGTATAACTGATTGAGAATCAAAATATTGAAGACTAACTACTTCACTTTCATTGGTATAAAAGACAAAGAGCAAAATCTGTATGCAAACAATTTTCACAGTTTTCTGTTTTCTTTATAATCGAAAGGTTGAATTAATCTCATTATACAAACAAATCCTGCAAAAAAATGAATATTTTGGTTCTCTATTCACAACCAAGATTCAGAGTTCTTTAGTAACAGGCCACTCATATGCACTTTGAAAGTTCCAACTTTTTGAAAAGGAATATTTTTCTGAATGACTGAAATGAAATAGATTTCCTGCAAACGTGATAAGAGTTGGTCACATGGGAACAGTTCAAGGTCCAATGATGCTGCATGTATCTTGTCCTCTGTGTTCTCAGAGATGACATCAGTGTGTGAAGAGCAAAGGAGAAGACAGAAGAGATCAGAACATGGATTAAATGGTTGTCTTCTTATGCAGGTAAACCAGGAAGGGTACTTATACACAAGATTCTGAACTAAGCTTTACATTATTCAAGAGTACATTGGTAGTGTGAGAATTCAGTCTTTTAGAAGTTCTCTTTTGTTAGGAATCCTTTGTGATTACTAAAATATGTGAAGATTGATTTTATTCTGTCATGCTCTTTTTGGATATTATTATATTACAATGATCTGAATGATCTTTATCTAACATAAAGAATTCTTAGAAACTAATTTC